GGCCTTGTACGCAAGAGGTTCTGAACAGGGGGAGTTGTAAGGAAGAAGATAAAAAATGAATTGATATCTTTTTTGTTTTTCTTTGTTTTTTTCGCTTTTCCGCTCTGATATTTATGTGACGATATATATATTACAGTGTGACAATATATATATTGTCACATGATATCAGAGTATATATAATATATATTATATATATCGTCACAAACAGAACTGCCCGGTAAACCGTAGGCAGAGAGAGAGAAGAGGACAACAAACGAGGGGCTGTGACAAACTGTTTCGTCGGAGTTTCACCGACTCATCAGGAGGCTGAACCCTCAATATATATATGTATGGCTGTTCTTCTTCTCTTATTTTCCGAGTGGTTGTCAATATCGCTATACATCACTCCACAGAGAAGCACGTGTGGGTGTGTGTGGGTGTGTGTGGGCGTTCTGTATTCTCCAGACAACACCAGAAAAGAAGGGTAACTGTGATAGCTGTTACGTTGGACTTCCACCGACTCATCAGGAGGTTGCGTGCGCCTGTGTGTGTGCCGGCGTGGGGGGGAGCGGTGGGGGACGGGGGCGAGAAGGGGGCAAGAGAGGGGATGGGTTATTATGACCTGCGGATACTTTTTTTCTTAACCTGAGGGCAAGCCATTCTATCCTTCCTCACCTTGGCAGATGGGCGAAAATCGCTTTCATCACATCAGTTGGCAGGTCGATGACAGACACAACTCCCGTAGCAACTACTCTTCTCTTCCTTGCGGCTTGTGCAGCTGCATCCCTCAGACAAAAATCTATACTCGATTGCCTCGATCTCTGTCTCTCTGCCTTTTGCTTCTCCAGCTTCGCTTCTTTCTCCTGACGTTTCTTCCGCCATAGCTCCATCTGTCCAGTCGTCGGAACCACCTCTTTCAGCTCCTCTTCCCCCTCCTTTAGATTAGTCGTCCATTCGAATGTCTTGGGAGGAGGCAACATGGAGGACGCCTTCATGAACCCACTACACTCTCCCCCACTTCCACCTCTCCCTCCACCTCCTCCCTTTCTGCCGTATCCTCCCATTCCCACCTTAACCGCACGACTGCTACTCGTATCCGAAGCTCTCACAAAGGATCCCCCTTTTCCGCAACCATTCCCTCCGCTGTTCCTACCTTCCTCTCTCCTCCTCTCTCCTCCTCCTCCTCCTCCCCTTCCCATGGAAAACGATGATGTCATCGCAAACCCTCCTTTCTCTTCTGCCCCTCCTCCTCCTCCTCTTTCTACTCCTCCTCCTCCTCCTTCCATTGAAAACGATGACGACATCACAAACCCTCCTTCCTGTTCTACCCCTCCTCCTACCCCTCTCTTGGGAAACGACGATTGCAAATCAACATCATCAGCAACCATCGCCAACTGCCCATTCTTCTTTCCCCCACTGCATTCCACACACGGTCCATCCACGAACACAGCACCTCTCAACTTCCCCCATTTCTCTCCTCCTCCTCCTCCTCCTCCTCCTGTAACAGCTTGATCTCTGCCTCCTCCTCGCCCTTCACTCTGCATAGCCTGACCTTCATCATGCCTTTCCCCGCCATTCCACGCACTGCCTTCACAATCTAGCACAATAAGATTAGCGATCGAAACCCCTTTGCTCATCCGAAGGACCGGAGATCGAACCCCAACCGATCGTCCGATTCGGCTCCCTTCTCCCGTGAGCTTGTGCCTGTCATAGTCATCAGAGGCCCATCTCTCTCCTACAGCCTCACGACGCATCGTGTAGCCAACGACCTCCACCTCTCCATCTCCAAATTTGACTTCATTCTGCACCTTGGCGCCGCCACAATTGATGTTCGTCGGATTTCTCTCTTTCTGCTCCTCCTCCTCCTCTTTCTCCTTAGTACCTTCTTTCATCTTCTCCTCCCTCCGTTCGCCGCACAAGGCGAAGGACCGGAGATCGAACCCCACTCTCTGCGCAACACCCAACCCTCCCCCAAACGTCGAGGTCTGAGCAGTAGATCCGCAGGGATCCGGTTCACAGATCATGCGACTGCATTCTGCCCGTACTGGACGGTCAACTCCAACTTCAACTCCAATCTTCACTTGCGAGATCGGTTCTATAAACGACCGCGCATCTCCCATCTGATCCTTACTGCCATCGACACCTCCCTCTCCCATTGCCATTCTCCCATTCCCACCATCTCCTCCCTCTCCCGTGGAGACGGAATCGTCAGAATTATCATTACTAGGCGACAGCCTGAAGAACGACTTCAAAGTTCGCTGACCTGTCATCGGTACCTTAGACCCTTTCCGTCTCCCCTCTTCCGCCATCTCTCTCTCTCTCTCTCTCTCTCTCTCTCTCTCTCTCTCTCTCTCTCTCTCTCTCTCTCTCTCTCTCTNCTCTCTCTCTCTCTCTCTCTCTCTCTCTCTCTCTCTCTCTCTCTCTCTCTCTCTCTCTCTCTCTCTCTCTCAATATATGCTCTATTTCCAGCACGGACGGTTTCAGCAGCTGGTGTAACCTCTTATTAACCGGGCAGCACCCGTGAGAGCGAGACGATCCGTCTACAGGACGGGGCCGTTACCTTTCTGTCGCTGAACCAATTTAGCCCAGTCGCTATCCAATCATCCCTTTTCCCCGATCTCTATCTCTGCTACTCCACCGTCATTCACTCCAACCTCCATCCGCCCGCCTTCACTTTTCCCAGCTCCCGCGCAAAATAATCGGCGGATGGAACACCGGAATGACGTTACCGTCCCAAGACAGGGACCCCCAGGACTTGGGAATCGCAAGTCCCGTTCGTGACGTTCGCGCCACCCAGCCTTCCCGGCGGAACGGAGCGAGTGGTGGCTTTGCTTCCCGCGCTCAATTTCGAATCGTGCGCGGGGTGAGCAACGCCTCATGTTCTTTCCGCGCTGAGGATGCGATTCCTTTTTTTTTTTTTAGGAGGGCCGCGCCGCGCTCTGCAGTGCAATACAGAGGCAACGCTGAAGGGGTCGAGCAAGCAAGCTTACCCGTAATTCCCCTCCGTAGCCCAGAAATTTTGATTTCTTTTTTATTTTTTTTTACAAGCTAACTTTGCACTTCATTAGAGAAAAAAGGGGGAGAAAGAAAAGGCGGGAGCGGCGTTACCGCGCGACTAGGCTCCGTTAACGCTGTCACCGAGCGCGGTTAGCCCGCAAGGTGCTACCGGGCCGTCCACCTCGCCGCTGAGACGAGGCACGGAGGAGACCCTGTTCTCTCTCTCAACGAGAGTGGGGCATCGCCCGCAATACAGGAGCTCTCATCCTGGTAGTCCTGGTTAGGGTTAGAGTAGTCTAGGCTATGGTGAATGGTAAGTCTCGTTGAATGAAATCGCTCTTACTGAGGTATCAAGAGTCGCCAAGTTGGTTCACGAGGGCGGCCAGGGTAAGAAGTAATGCAAGCATTGCCGGGGTAGGTGGTTGTTGGTCCGCAGTGGAGTCATAGCGTGAGGTTCTGGCATTAACGCGGTCATGGTGAGACAGGGCGGTCTCCCTCCCCCTCCACATCTCAGTAGAAGCAATGCAAGCATAGTGGTAAAGATGGCCCGGGTTATCTGGGCTTTCGCGCTGAGAGGCGGTAGTCCCAGCAAGAGGAGAGAGTAAATCTTGTATTAGGCTATGGTGAATGGTAACTCTCGCTTCTAAGCCGCCCTTACCGAGGTAACAAGAACCGCTCGGTGGGTTCGCCGAGGAGGCCAGGGTCGACCCACGTTCGAAGCCTCGTGAGGACTCAGCGTCGGTCCCGCCGCCATATCCGGAGGCCCTAGTCCATTGGCGTGAAAGTTAGAAACAAGTTGGATTAAGAGAAAGGTGCGCTCCGATATTAACGCCTTGGAGGGGAGACAGGAGGTCTCCCCCGCCACACCGTGAAAAAGTAGTGCTCGCGTAGTGGTGAATTTCATCATGCTGTAACCTCGTCCAGACTCCCTGAGGTCCGTGTATCGAGGCGGCAGCTTCGCCCAAGGGATTTGGGGAAGCCAACAGACGGTACCTTCATTCAGGCAAGAGTGATACGAAGGTTGGGATGGGGCAAGCCGAAGGATTTCCCCACACAGAGGAAACCTCCCTCCGCGACACTGCCATATCCGGATGAACCCGAAACCGAAGTAGTGAATCAGAATGCTGGTTCCCTGTGGGAGTTAGGTCGTCCGCTCGTCGTTGCATCGAGCCAAGAGGGATCCCGATCCGCTCGGGGAAAAAGAGTAGGCGCCCGCCCAAAGTAGTAATTTTTACTTGGGAAGTGAGAATGCTCAGCAGGGGCGTAGGGTAAAACATGGAGGCGACTCATTTACCAGGATGGAGAGATTGAGTGTATCCCTATACTTGTTCAGTTAGAACAGTGCTGTCTTGATTCACGAGGGTACGGCTTAACACGGGTTGCAGCCTACACAGTCGAATAAGATAACAAAATAGTTGGTTTGAAATCGGTGCAATTCTAGAGTGGAGTGCGGAAGCGTGATAATTCCAAAACGGGCAACGTAAGTAAGGAGAGCACCCAGGGCAATTCAGTAATCAGTCGGTCAGCACTCACACTATTAAAGCAGTGACTCTGTAGGGTGGGTCTGAAAGGGCAGAAGTGGTAAACATAGACTGGACAGTAAGTCTACAGCGGCGCTGGAGGATGGATTTGAAAGGGGTGAAGTAGTAATGTCAGGCTGGACAGGAGGGCGACTCGGAGTGACTCCAGTACTGAGGAAGAAGCGACCTGTGCGTCACTTGGCCGAACTAGTTTTCCAGAAGTGGGGAGAGAACTCCCGAAGAGTTCACATATGTATGTGTCCAAGATTCGCATCGTGATCTGAAGGAGCTAAGAGGTCTTTGGTGCTCATGGATAGTGCAGTACGAGAAAGGCTCTGTCTGATGGAATTCGTGAGGGTTCAATTCCCAAGAAGGTTCAAATATTATCCAAACCAGCACCCTTGCCGGGCAGGGAACCGAGGGAGTTTGCTCCTCGCATGCAGATTCCGACGGGGCCAGGGTTCAGTTAAGCTAGCAAGTGCAAAATGCAAGCAACGTCTACAGGTGAGATACGGAGGGCAGACTCGTAGTCTAAGAGGGGACATTGTCCTGACGGGAGTGCAGCTGATCACTAGGAGTTTCAATCGGAAATCGGAGCTCCGGTTACAGGTGGCCCATCGGTACTACAGATCATACCATCTCGTACTTTGATTGGAAGAATAATTATACTAGGGAGATGGAGGACGTTCTCTCGAGAGTGAGGGACTCGGTGGGTCGCTGCTACGATGAAGGAGTATGCCCAGACGATGTCAATCTGGGCAAGGTAGTGGAAGATGAGGAAGGACGAAGATTCGTGGTAGACGGAGCAGTAAACGATGGGAAATAACAATGGTTGAAAGAAAGATCAGTTGTTGTAATCTTCCAGGGAGAAGCAAGGAAATAGGCCCGGTCAGTGAAAGAAGACTTGATCAGAGCCTATGAGGATGGCTGGACGACGAAGAGGTTGTTTCAACTAGAAGTTAGAAGAGGCAGAGTGAAGTTCGAGGGCCCGAATGTGGCCTCATACGTAGCGAAGGCGAAAGAGATAGCCAAATGGTTGGTGAGTCAGGAGGAAATGAAGATAACACTGGGCAAAGACGAATACCTCGTCCAATTTAGACCCAGGCTATCCAGGCAGGAGTTACAGGAGGGAAGGATCCAAGAAGCGGAGACTAAGTTCTGGATAATGGCCCTGAGGGTGCCACTGGAAGCCTACTACTTCCTCCTAAGCGCGGTAAAGAGTATGTTTGGTGACGTGCTCTCAGTCCACTCACCGGAATATGACAGCGATCGTCCAAGATTGATGAACGTTAAGTTTGATATGTCACCTGAAGCTCGGAGCAGAGTGGAAGATGAGCTGGTTATTCAGTTCCCTAAGGGGGCAAGATGGAAGGTGGAGATTGTATCTCCCTACTCAGACTGGTGCAGACGCTGTAAGCAGTACTACCACACGGAGGAGAGTTGCCCCAGACTAAAACAAAACGGTGAAGGGTGGAGGAACAGTGGTGAGAGGCTAGGGGGCCACAAGGCCCGATTCCGTCAGCATCTGTTGAGCCAAGTGAGGACCGATCAAGACGACAAAGCAGAGAGAAGAGAGACACACTTGGACGAACAGATAAGTGCTCAGCATCAGGCCAGATCCAATCAGAGACAAGAGACACAAGCCCCGGCAGGACCCGAGGAGCAGGCCCAGGCCTGGCATGAGAGGCCAGCGGACCAAGGCCAGACTCCGTGAGGTTCACTACAGTATGGAGACTCGAACATGTATCCACAGGAACGCGGGTGGAATGGGCCAGGTCCTCTCTTCCCTCTCTACCCTACAAGACTCGGAACAGCACAGCTACAGGGCCCATGGCCCCAGGGCAGAGAAACTATAGGTGGTGAACATGGTTGGGAAGGTAATCAGGATGCCCGAAATGGGCTGCCACTGATGTCGCCATGGGCTCCAAGGGAAGAGTGGCAGGCATGCAACAGAGGAAGTGCACTCATGAGTGGACACTCAGGGGGTGACAGGGCCCAGGCTGCTTCTTCCCAGCAGTGGCAAGATCGATATCGGTCCGAGGGGGAAGCAAACATGCACCAACATCAGAACTTCGGGGAGCTCTATCAGCATGACCGGCCTATTCATGTTTTCCAACCGCAGCTTCGGTACCCAATGGGAGGGTACGATTGGAGAAGTATGCCACAGGGTAATGGAGCCGCCTCAGGTGTCTCGATGGGAAGAGGGAGGGAGTATGAACCTGAACAGAAGAACGAGAAGGGGCAGCAGCAGGCGCTGGGACACATGGAAGGGGGACAACCATGATCGTAGAGAGGGCAATGTGTAGGACTGGCGCCAAGAGTCACCAGGGCCCGCGGGAGGTAGTAGAGGAAATGAGGCAGCTCGAGACAGGATCCATAGCACACAGTACGGTGGCACAAGCGTCGTCCAGGAAGAGCTTTCAAAAACGTCGGCGACGTCCAGGTCCAAAGTCCGATGGGGTAGTGAATGCAGTGAAGAAGACAGAAGAACAACAGCAGCACGCCCAACGACCACATCATCTTCATTAGAGAGTTCAGCGGAGTCCGGAGTGAAGAAGCCTACTGATCTTGGGACAGGGGGCAAACAAAGGTGGGACAAGGATATCCGGACAGAGGCGCTGGGGAAAAATCAAATGGAGACAGTACAACGCTGCCTAATCCTCATCCTCTGTACAAGGGTGAACGAGGGCAATTATTTTTTTGCAGTCTCGGATGTGGAGGGAAAACCACTGGTCCCATCCATGGTGATAGACAGGACCCCCACCCCGACCACGATTTTGGAAACAACAAGGAAGCTGTACAGTGAGCACGTGCCAGTGCGACTCATCCCGCACTCCTCAATGGTTAACGTGGTATGCGAAACAGTCCAAGGGTACTCTAAGATGTATTTCCCGCTAATGGACGCCCACATACTAGAGAAAGCAGTGAGCTCCCTGGCGCAGTCAGGCATAGATGGTTCCCTCTAGACCTAATAAGGGAGCGTAACTCGTTGGAGCTAGA